GAAAGACTGCTGCTGCTGCTGCTGCTGCTGCATGCAGCAGCAGCAGCAGCAGCATCATATACACACGACATGTGCCTGCAGCCTGCAACGCCATCCGCACCGAGGACAACGCCGGGGACCCCTGCCCTGCTGCAGCAGCAGCAGCAGCAGCAGCAACACCTGTAGGACCTGCAGCAGCAGCAGCAGCAGCAGCAACAGCAGCACGGAACCGCAGCCAGACCGCAGCAAAAGGGGCAAGAGATGCCGACAGTTTGCTGCTGCAGCGCGGGCTGCTGCTGCTGGCAGCAGACAGGCAGGTGGACGCGCCGGAGCAGTTGCTGCAGCAACCTTTAGACAGTAAGCGACGGCAGCAGCAGCAGCAGCAGCAGCAGCAGCAGCAGCAACAGCAAAAGCAGCAGCAACTACAGCAGCGACAGATAGCGTTCTCCGGGATCGCCTGCGCTGCCTGAATTTGACATTCTTCGTTTGCATTGCTGCTGTTGCTGCTGCTGTTGTTGCTGTTGCTGGTGTTGCTGCTGCTGCTGTTGCTGCTGCTGCTGTTGCTGCAGGCGAAGTTCTACAGTTCCCTTGTGGGGCCNGCAGCAGCAGCAGCAGCACTGATGAGTGGATAGGAGTCATATCTCTTACTTGGTGCTCCGAAGGGGCTGTGCGTGAGCTGATGCAGGCGCTGCTGTGCGCTTCAGCCTGCATGCTGCTGGCTGCCAGCAGCAGCAGCAGCAGCAGCAGCAGCAGTAGCAGCAGCAGCTGCGGCGGAGACGAGATGCAGGGGGTGTACTGCTGCGTCGGGGATACAGCGCAGCAGCAGCAGCAGCAGCAGCAGCAGCTCATATCTGCTGTTCTAAGGTCCCTAGGCGCAGTGGTGAGCGCCGGCGCACTCACAGCCAGCAGCAGCAGCAGCAGCAGCGGGAAAAACAGCAGCAGCAGCAGCAGAAACAGCAGCAGCAGCAGCTGCAGCAACACGAGTAAGCATACACCCGCGTGCTGCAGCAGCCTGCTGGGGTCTGTTTGTGTGTTTTTCTGTGCAGCCCTGTGGTGCCCCTCCTGTTGCAGCAGCAAGCTGGAGAGGT